TGGAACTAGGTGAGCACTTCTAAGCCAGATCAGTGGGTACAATATAACCTTCATCAAGTAAAGAATATTAAATTTTATCAGCTTCAACATGTTTGATAGTTTAATAACACATGATTAGAATAGAAGAGGTTTTCGGTATTATTGGATAAAACTAACCATTGATGTTAACATGACTCTAGGAAAAGTGTAAATGAGATATTAACCACACGCAGCATGATTTTGTTGAAATCGTGATATTAAGGCTAATTGACATTGAAATAAAGCTAGCTTAGCTTTATAACCACATTCCATTCAATCAAGAAACCCAAAATCAAAGCAATAACTATATATTAAAACAAACACCGAAAAAAAAAAAGAAAAAAAAAAAACCTAGCCTCCTCTCTCCTAAACTTTAGCCTCCATTGTCAATTTTGAAGGGGCTTTCATCGGATTTCACCGGTGGAAAGCCCCAATCTTTATTTTCTTTTAAGTTTTTTGTTTCTTAGGTTACAATAATGTCTCCGTCGAAAGAAAGGGTTTATCTCCTTCGAAAGACAAGGTTTTTTCGATCTCCTTCGAAAGACAAGGTTTTTCGGACTCCTTCGAAAGACAAGGTTTTATTTGCGCTTAATTTGATCTCTGGTTGTGCGGGGCTACTATTGATTATGGCTCGGATTCGGGTTACGGAATCAACACAAGAATTTACTTTCTCACAAAATTGCGAAGCGGCGACGGATCCACTCAAAAAGTTGTATGAGACAATGAACTGAGAATGTGCCGAATTGTTATATTTATGTATTTGGATTCTTAGCCCTTCCCCGATTAATTCTTGTTTGATTTTGTTAAATTCGTTTTCATTATCGTTAATCGTCAATTGTAGATGTCGTATGGCTATTATTAATGAAATTTAATGTCCTTTAGGACTTCTTTCAAAAAAAAAAAAAAGCTAGCTTAGCTTTAAACAGTACAACCAAAAGAAAACTACCTTTTGATAAAATTATCATACTACCTATATAGTTGATTGAGTACCTTGGATAAATACTCCATTTGTGCTATTCAAAAAAAAATTCCATTTGTCTAGTCTCTTTCAGAGTATATTTGGTTAGTGTATTTTAAAGGATTTTAACAGATTTGGTTAAACCATTACCGTTATTGAATGTTTGTTTAGGAGATTGGTAACAATTATCGTTTAGGAGATATGGTAATAATTACCGTTGCCTAAGGGTAAGGGATTCCACTCATTTGTTACCACACTAAAACCTAAGGTAACAAATACCCTTACCCTCCTCAAACATAAATTGATTCCATTCCATAGTTAAACCAAACAAATAAAAAGGTAATAGTTACATGATTCCTTTCCTTCCTCTTATTTGTTTCCTTTTCACTTCGTTTCCATTTTTCAAACCAAACACCCCCTCGTTGGGTGTTGTTGCCCGTAATAACCGTGGTGAGGTGTTGTTTTCTGCTTGTAGAAGGCTGCGTGCTTGGTGGCAGGCTGATGTTGCAGAGGCCAAGGCTGTGGTTATGGCAATTAAACTAGGCGCAACTTTGGCCTTGACAAAGTTGTCATTGAAACAGACTGCCAAGTAGTTACTAACCGCTTATCTAAAGGAGCCACTCACCTCACTGACTTGGATGCGCCTCTTTCTGATGCTATGAGATTAAGCTCCTCCTTCACGCATATAAGCTGGTCCCATGTTCGACGCACAGGAAATAAAGTAGCTCACAACCTTGCTAAGTATATTCCTTTTGATGTTGTGTAAATTTGGGAAAGTTGTGTGCCTAATGATGTTTCTGCTTATGTACTCATGGATAAGCTTATTAGTGAATGATTAAGTCTTGTGCTCCCTTTCAACAACAACAACAACAACAACAACAACAACAAATAAAAAAAAAAAAAAAAAAAAAAAAAAAAAAAAAAAAAAACCTCAATGTCAGTCCATTCTGATTAGGCGTTCATTTGCTTACTATATGATCTTGCTATTCTTGATAGGCTGTGACATGTGTAAATTAACTTAATAAAAAAAATTACCTACTCAACTAATTATGTTCACTTGGGATCATTTTGAGGGATTGGGTATAAAAGTCGAATTATTTAAAAATAAACCAAAGGTGGGATTATTTTGTACGAACGCCGCAAAGTTGGGATTATTTTGGGCAATTTTTCCTAATACAAAAAAATAATATTTGAATAGGTACCAAAAATCTGAGTTTAAATTCTTCATAATTTTCAATGGTACAAAAATTCAAAATTTCCCAATATTAATCTATTACATAATTGTAATGAACCAAGCAATTATCTTCTTTTGGTAACATGTTTTTTTTAAAGGAAGTAAAATTTTGAAACAATCTTTTAAAAATGACATAAGTGTAATTTATCCATCTCGGTTACATAATCATCAATATCTGAATTATGTACTCGCTTCATAGCTTTTTTAAGTGAAATATTTTTTACTTTTTTGCACTATTTACTTAATCCACTTTGACTAAGGGCCTGTTTTCATACGTTTATTTTCAATTCAGCTCTAATAAGTTCAGTTCAGTTCAGCTCCTAATTTCCTTCTCTTATAAAATATTCATTTCAGTTCAGTTCAACTAAGTTCAGTCAATGAGAACATGCCCTAATATATATATATATATATATACACACACACACACACACACACACACACACACACACTACATCTGTAACATATTATGTGCAATTTTGGAATTATTTATACCTCACAAATAATACCTAAAAATTGCACATAATATGTAACAAAGGTAGTACAAAGGAGTATTAGTAATAAAGGTGTCAATTTGAATAATTGGATGGAGTTTGGGTTGATCCATGATGGGTCGGGTTTATTCAGATCGGATATATTCGGTTCAAAATTACCTTTTTAACCCGGGTTAGGTCGAATCAAACTCAGGTCAAGATCTATCGGGTCTAAATCGGGTTTGAGTCGGGTCTACTTCAAATTGTTTCATATTCGGTTTGGATATATTCGAATCGGGTTCAAAATAAGTTTGACCGGGTTAATTTTGGGTTGATAACTATGGATCGGGTTGGTTCCGATTCGATTGATTTCAGTATTCTTAAGTTTGATTTTGCTTAATAAAGGTTGACTCATCTTTTTTTTCAATTCCAATTCACGTACTTTTCGTGTTTGGTTGAATTTTGGTTGAGTTGACCGAATTTAATATTCAAATAAATACATATTTAAAATTAGAATAATCATATATTGAGTTTTTTCTTGATCTTGTTATTAGGTCGATATCAAGTTATTCACGTGTCATATATATATATATATATATATATATATATATATATATATATATATATATATATATATATATATATATATATATATATATATATATATATATATATATATAAAGTACTATATAAAGAGAAAGAATTTCTTCGTCGATAAATTTTGCTTTTCCTAAAATACCCTTTTATTTTTTAAAAAAATTACATTATTTACCCACAATTAAAAATTAATTTTTTTATTAAAAAAAATCTTATCATAACTACCCATAAACATAAACCATTATTTAAATAAATAAAACTATCTATCATAACTACCGTATAATAACTGCTCCACTTCTTTCACATAAATGTATATCTTCAACTATAAAACCGCTCTTAAGGTTTTTTTTTTTTTTTATGGTTAATTTCTTTTTTTTTTTCTTCTAATTTTTTATATGGTACACGCATAGCGTGTACTCTTAGCTTGTATATATAAAGTGAAAGGGCCTTTTGGGTGATAAATTTCACTATCCCCAAATTACCCCTCTCAAGTTGCAAAATTACCTTTTTTTTCAATTACAATTAGAAATTAAGAATTATTTATTTTTAAAAAATGTCCTATCATAACTATCCTATAATAACCGCTCCCTTTCTTTCACATAAATTTATATTTTCAACTGTTCTCACTCCTCATAAAAAGTGAAACTACTCTTGAGTCATACATTTTTTTTCCCAACTAATTTCTTATACTGTACACGCGTAGCATATATCTCTTAACTTATCCTATATATCCTATATATAAAGTGAAAGGGGGTTTTGGGTGATAAATTTCATTTTTCCTAAATATCCCTCTCATTTTTGTCTTTCTTTTGTTTTTTTTTTGTAAAAAAAAAACACTACCATCCTTTAAAAATAATAAAAAAAAATAATGTAAAAAACCACTAATTGGGAAAAAAAAAAAAAGAAGAGAGAATCGAGTTATATAGGTTACTTATATGCACACGCACGAATTTTCGTGCGTCTATTGGTTTGTAATAAGTTAAAAAAAGGTAAATACTAGGTTGGGCGTAAAATTATGGTTGGTTTGTAATCATATCAAGTCAGAATCAGGTTCGGTTAAAATCGGGTTGGGTTAATACCAGTTTGGATAAAAAAAAAAAAAGATCAGATTGAATTGTGTATTTGGGCATGTTCTGATATATATATACTGAACTGAGCTGAACTAAACTAAACTGAAATAATTTGAACTAAACTGAACTTTTTATGAGAGAAAGAAATTAGGATTTGAAATTAAGCCGAAGAAAACAAGCCCTTTGTCGAGTCAATTTCGGTTCGGATTAAGTTCAGGTCGGGTCAAATCAGTTCGGTTTAAGTTTAAGCCAGGTTAAATCGGTTTTTATCTGAGTTGAATTCAAGTCATGTCAAAATGATGTCGGATTATGTTCAACTCGGATCAAATTCAGATTCCGGTTGAAATCTAATCGATTAAAGATCAGGTTTGGGTCTAAAATTGCTCAAATCAAATCGAATCTGTTATAGTTCGAAACGGATAGCTTTTATGAGGTTGGTTCGGTTTTGAAACCTCTAACTAGATTAAGGCCCGTGCCATGCACGGTAACTCTAATTTTTGTAAGAAAATTAATTATATCCAACAAATAAAATTTGATAAAGAGAAGACACTGCTACGACTAAGGGTCTGTTCACATTTACTGAACTGAACTGAACTGATTTGAACTGAATTGAATTGATTGGAGCTGAATGAACCGAACTAATTGGAGCCGAACTGATCTGAAATTAAGCTGAAGTGAACAGGCGCTAAGACCTAAAGGGCAAGTAGTAGTGGATTGGGCCGGGTCTTTTCGGTCTGTTTCTTATTTTTTTTGGTTTTTCTATAGAAAGAATAGCGTTAAATTTCGTTTTCTGGTCGTATTCTACTATTCTCTAGCCCAGTGGCAACGAACACAAGGTGAAAAAAGTAGAATGGCACCGTCTTAATGGCACCGGTTCTTCAAAACCGGTGGCAAAAACATGGGTTAAAGTAGGCGGGTTTTAATTTTTAGAAGAGGTTTTTGGCACCGGTCTGAACCGAACCGGTGCCAAAAACCTTTTTTAAAAAAAAAAAAAAACTCTTATATATTTCCCTAAACCCTACCCTCCCTCCTCTCTTCTCTCTCCTGATCTCCTCTAGCCTCCTCTCTTCTCTCTCCTGATCTCCTCTAGCCTCCTCTCTTCTCTCTCCTCTCCTCTCCTCTCTCTCTTCTCTCTCCTCTCTCCTCTCCCTAAAAAAAACCCCCTTGTTCACCTAAACACCACCGAAGACGACCACCAACACCACCACCAAGTCCAATACTCAAGACCACGAACAACAACGAATCTAATCAAGATGGGTTTGATTTTTTGGGTTTAATTTTTTGATTTTTCTGGGTTTGTGTTTATTGGGTGTTTTTTTGGGTTTGATTTTGGATTTTAATTCGAATTTTCTCTGGGTTTCATTAATTGATTTGAATCGATTTTCGGATTTCGATTTTCTGGGTTTATTGCATGTGTTTTTTTTTTTCGATTTCGATTTCTGGATTTCGATTTTCTGGGTTTATTGCATGTGTTTTTTTTTCGATTTTGTGGATTTAAATCGATTTTATGGGTTCTTGCATGTGTTTGATTTTGGATTTTAATTCGTTTTAATTTTTCAATTTTTCTGGGTTTATTTTTTTTTCGATGTCTGGGGTTATATTTTTTCTGGGTTAATTTTTTTTTTTTTCAATTTCGATTTCGAGGTTGGATTTTCTGGGTTTAATGCATGTGTTTTTTTTTTCAATTTCGATTTCGAGGTTGAATTTTTTTCTGGGTTTCATTTTGATTTTTTTTTCTGGATTTCATTTTAATTGTTTTTTTTTTCCGATTTCTGGTTTATTATTTTTTTTTCTGGGTTTCAATTCGATTGTCATACATTTGAATTTCTGGTTTGTTTTTTTTTTCTGGGTTTGAATTTTTTGATTGAATTTCTGGTTTTTTTCTTTTTCGAAGCTTATTTATATTATTTTTTTTTTTGTTTTAATTGGTGCAGGTACATCAATTTAGATCTTAAATTGAAGAATCAAGATTCAAGAATATTGATTTAGATGTGTAGGGTTAATTTTTTATTTATATTCTAATTTTTTTTTATTTACGAGTATATTGTAATTTTTTTAATTTATAATGTAAATTTTATTTATTTATTTATATGTTGTAATTGATTGTAATATTTTTTTTATTATATATTGTAAAATTTGGATTATATTGATTGAAATTCGTCAGATTTAATTGTGATGTTTTTTTTTTTGATTTAATTGTTAAGTAAAAATTGACAAAAAAAAAATTATATATATAATGGGCATTTTTGGCACCGGTTAACCGGTGCCAAAAACAATGGAAAAAAATATTTGGGCTATTTTTGGCACCGGTTAACCGGTGTCAAAAACTATTTTTGCCACCGGTTTGAACCGGTGGCTTTTCATGCTCGTAATTGGCACCCCCCCACATTGGCACCGGTTCAAAACCGGTGGTATTGAGGGGTTTTGAACCGGTGCCAATTACGTTTTTTCACGTAGTGGAATACGGATAAAACATACAAATTATATATAATGTCAAAATCTATATTAATAGGCAAAGCAAAAAATTATCTAAAAATGGATTTTTTTTTTAGGCTGCCCAAACCCGAGAATTTTTCAGTCGGAATTGATTTGATCAGGTCTAGTGGCCATATTAGTAAATATTTATTAATAATTGGATTTTTAATAAACATAAAAAATTAATCAAACAACAAACTAAAATCTGCACTAAAACTATTAGCAAACATACACTAAATTACAAATACTATATCCCCTTTTACATCTAAACAATCATTTGTCAACACAACCTTTTATTTTATAGCTATACGCCTATACTATATTCTATAAATCCTTAATTTGTGATGATCTGTATGTATAGTAGTAAAATTTCAGAAACAAAATTATAACCGACTTAAATTTATAGTTATATTAAATTGAAATAAAATATTAGCTTGCTAAGGTATTTGAAAAAAATAAAAAAATTGAGTGATGTTTTAAAGTAATTTTTATATTATAACATCTATTATATGAATCAATTTATTATTATTTTTTTTTGGCAAAATTTTTACAATACCCCATTTGAAAGATAAATAAAAAGGAGTTGAAATAATTATTTAGGTAAATGTATATTAAATAATTATGAATACCAAATAAAAAAGAATAATATTTGTCGTAAAGATAATATAAAAGATTTGGAATTATATTATTATAGAATAAAATATTAACAAAATGAAAAAGTTGAAAAGGGAAAGGGAGTTTTGGAGTTTTGGAGGTAAAAACAGCACCAGGATATGACACGTGTCACTCCCGTTATCTGTTTTAATATTAAATTTACTAGTTTGGTCCCGTGCAATGCACAAATTTATAAAGTATGGTTTACTAATAATAATAGTTAGGGCCTGCTCTCTTACGTTGAAATTCAGTTCAGTTCAGTTCAGTTCAGCTCAGTTCAATTCAGTTTAGTTCAGTTCAGCTCCTAATTTCCTTCTCTTATAAAATATTCAGTTCAGTTCAGTTCAGCTCATTTCAGTTCAATTCAGTTCAGTTCGGCTCATTTCAGTCAATGAGAACAGACCCTTAATAGTTAATTAAAATATAGTTAATTGAAATTAAATGACATTTGTAAGATTTTTTTTTTTAAAAAAAATTTGAATTTATTAATGTCTATCCTTTGAAAGAATTTAATAAAAAAGAATTACTAACAATTTTTTGAATAGAATTTTTTTTCTTTAAAGTAGAGCATTTTGGAGGGAAAATTATTCACAAAATCATGCCAAGTGTCCCTCCGATGATTACTTTAGTAGATACGAGTGGAAACCCCAATAATATAATCTGTATAAAATATATGGAGTAGGAGAAAAAGAAAATGTTTATAAGAAAATGAAATAATCTGACCTTCCTTTAATTTCTCCAATGGAAGTTACATATTTAGTCAATTTAAATATAAAATATGTTAAGAAAATGTATAATTAATTTATCATTTTTAAATTTTAATTTATGTTGAAAAAAAATAATGATGTCATTATTAGTTTTGGCAGAAAAATTGTTTATAAGAAGTCGACATGTGAAAAGTAATGACATTAGTAGTAATTACTTTAGTTATATTTATAGAAGTATAGATATAGATGGATTGATTAGTAATATCCATTTGAGAAAATGAGAAATGATAATGACCCTATAGGTCCCATTTTAAAAATATCAGCAAATTGCATGTAACGATGTAAAGCCTATACAAGACTTTCGAGTTGTCACGAAAAAAACTCGTCTAAATTGCTTGTCTCAGTAATCAACTCTCTCATTCGTTGATGTGGATTTATTCAAAAACGCACCAAATATCCTAAAATAAAATACTGTAAATGTTTGGATGTACATAATAAAATCAGCCAATCCAACCACCCCCGACCTCCGCTTTTTCCTCTGCTATATACTACCTCCGTTTATTTTTATGTGCAACTTTTGCCATTTTAGTCCGTTCACTATTATGTGCAACTTTCCTTTTTCATTCTGTTTTTGGTAAATAAAAACCCTTGAATTTACTATATTACCCCCACTTAAAAAATTTAATCATCTTACTTTTACCCCTCATTATCCAAAACCCTAACTTAATTTAACACACCTAAATTAACCTAACCTAATTACTCCCTCCAATTTACCCCCCAACCGACACAACTCTACATCTTCCCAACCACCTTTTCTAAACTGATCTAGAGAATTCTATAGAACCCTAGATCAGTTTCTTTGTTTTCCTGTTCTTCGTGTTCTAGGGTTCCTGTTCTTCGTCTTCTTCGTTTCGTTCGCCCTTTTCCTGAAGAATTCAGAGTCCCACAATTATGTCTTCCCCCTTTCCCTCCCCTTTCGAGAGGCATCCAGACTTCACAATTCCGTTACATGACCTAGATCCACTTGTTGACGCCTATATTGGCACAGATTCACAGAGTGAGGCTCGGTTCATCAAGTCCCTCATTAACGACATCAACAGGGGCAATGATTTTCCTCGCCGCCTTTACAACTCTGAGGAAGGCCCTAGTTGCTGTTCTTCGACGACTTTCAAAGCTTTGGGGGAAGTCCTGAAAAATATCGACGAGGGGGAGAAGACGAACAAAGAGGAGGGTGAAGGCGAGTCCCATGCCAAAAAAAAAATTGATTTTCAGGTTAAAGATGTAGATCTGGAGTCCGATTTTGAGGTCAGTGTTGCGCCCTCCCCCACCCCCAAGCGCGGATCTAAGGTTTCCAGGCCTCCTCCGAAGCTTTGGCGAAAGAGGAAGGCTGCGGTGGTGGCGATGAGGCGTTTGCTCGGGTTGCCTGATTTGCCGGAGTCCGACCTCGTGGTGCTGTCCTCTGATGAGGAGGCTGAGCACTGACCTTTGCGTAACGATTCCTATTCCTAATTTTTTTTAAATTTTTTAAAATTTAAAAGAGTCCTAATTTTTGTGCCGGTTGATCTATGGCTGAAACTAGGGTTTCACTGTTTATTGCGGGCTTGTTTGACTGGTTGTGGTTTCATGATGGGGTGTTGGTTGTGTTGATCTACTCTGGCTGCTAAGGGTTTGCTGTTATGGGTAACTTTGACTCGTTGTTGTTTATTGTTGGGTTGTTGATTATGTTAAATGTTAGGGTTTATTTGTATGTTTGTGTTGATGTAGGCTGGATACTAGGGTTTGCTGTGTAATGTTGGGTTGTTGGTTATGTTACATCTGGGAGATTTATTGCTGGTTGCATGTGTGTGTTGATACATCTGGTTGCATGTTGTCTTTATTGCTGGCTGTGTGGACTTGATTGATGAATGATGAGGCTGGTGTCTTGTGCATGTTCATTGTTGCCTAGTCAGTCCCTTAAAAGGAGTCCCATGATGTTGCCTTCTGTTTCTTGTTTATTAAAGAGTCCCCTACTTTGATATGCTATTTAGCTTACCCATATCCACATGATGAAGGGACTCCAATGAATTTCAATATGCACAGGTGATTTGCTCCATCAACATGAAAGTTGTTGTTGTTGTTGAGGTACCCTTGTGCATATGTGTAGTATTCAACATTATAACCCTCTGATGGATTTAGTGCCCACATAAATTGTTTATCTTTGTCATTCATAATCAACTAAAAATGTGGGTACAAAATACTAGTACATAAAACTTTACAAAAGACCATATGTATGATAATCTAATGACTATACTTCAGACTGCCTGACTTGTTTGGGTAATTGTAACCAACAAAATACACCTAACCACTGGATTGCTCAAAATGTTTTTGAGAAAAATAAAACCAATAAAACTTACTATGATAAGTGGTTATGTGTGGCAGTCCATGTGTTGTCTGGTTGTTGTAAAGACTCCCCTAATCTGCATCCACCTCCAAATCTTCTGTGTCTTCTTGAGTGCCTTGATTTGCTGGCCTAAACATGGTGTTTAGGTACTCCACAGCCTCCAATACATCCTCTTTCTGAACCTCTACCAAATCTGGAAGACTACCTAGGTTTTCCAGCTTTTTTTTGTTCATATGTGGTATTTTGTACTTGTTACCACCTTCTGCCTTGAGTATCTTAATCATACACTTTTGCAATGTAACCCAGATGTACTTGTTTACATGAGGGTTGAAAGTGTCATAAGACTGTTTGACCTTTTGAATTAGCTCCTCTAAGTCCCTAGGAAAAGACTGATATTGCAATGATTGTATAGACCTAAATAGCCCTAAGTCAAGGACATTCAAATCAGGAGACTGTGCTGGCTGAAAAACAAATTGAATGTTAAAGCCATTAGCTGTTGTTGCTGCCACAAACTCATCATCTGTAGGAACTTGGTGTGGCCTTGCATTGTCCCATTGGATGACCACATCCTTGGGCAGACCTTCAGGCCACTTTGATATGATTGCTGGAATAACCTTTGTTAGCAGCATCTCTCTGATTACTTCTCTGTTTATGTTCTGGAGTGCCTTGGTTTCCATGGTCCCTCTTGGTCTTTTCTTGCTTGCTTTCTGTGCTACTTGCTGGACAGTGAATGGAAAGATGCCATACTTTCCATCATGTAAAAGTTCCCCATTTATGCCATATAATGGCTTCCCTATGATTGCCATGAACATTGCCTTTAGTTTGAATCTTCTTGACTGAACTGCCATATAGGGATCCTCCTCACATGGCAGTAGGTAGAACCTCCTTTTGTCAGGGTTCAAGTAGAACCACTTTTCATCACAGTGTATGACATTCCTCATGTCAACAAATGTGGGGTCC